GGGGGATGGATACTAGTTTCTCCTATGGGGGACTTCTAAATACTTTTCAACCCTACACGTTGTGAGTTGGTATCGCTCCTCCTAATGAGCTTGCAAGCTGCTAGTTCCCACTCCTCCAAGGGTTCCCATTTCCAGCCAGAGGGTTTAATATGTCTTTGGTCTTGAATTTTCACTTTTCTAATAGGCAAATGGATAGCTGTTGAGGATGCATTTTTAATCTTTCATCGCCTATTTAATGACCACCTTGATCATCGATTCAAATCTGGAATATCCATTGACAAGAAAAACAATAAATAAATGGTAAATATTAGAGGTGATTGAGAATAAGGAGCTTATCCACCTAGTCCTCAAGCTTTAAGTGACGAGGTGAATTTACTATGGCAATGAATCTTATTTAATGGTTTGGAATAAGCCGCAATTGATTCCCTGCACTCTGATTTGTAATCGTACACTTTGTGTTTTTTGCTATACTAACCATTATACTCGCTTCTCCGAAGAAGGCATTTGCCTTGGGGCGGCTGCAAGCTCACAGCTATTTTTGTCATATGTCTATTGCTTGATTTGCTACTATTAGCCACAACAAGGGAATTTTGTTATAAGTTAATCGTGAGAAATCCTCCGAGTACAATGAATAGGGAATCATTCAAGTACTTGCTAAAGTGGGGGATATCGAGTGGGGGGGGAGGGGGTGTTCAGAAAAGGAGTGACTTCTGGATACTTTTCGACCATACAAGTTGTGCGTTGGTATTGCTCCTCCTAATGAGCTTGCGAGTTGGTAGTTCTCACTCCTCTAAGTACACTCACTTCCACTTCATTTTTCTATTTCTCATTTCAAATGTCTCCTGAATAAAATCATGTCGGTGGTGCCCGAAATTGACGATTTTAGCGACATAACATGACCATTGTCAGTTTCAACCTAATCTCGTACTAATCCCTCATAAATTTTCTTCTAAAATTTGCCTTATTTTTGGGTGGTTGATTTGGAGATGAAAACATCCTTTTAAGACACTTCTATTTTATCAATCCTGTACTCAAAATGTCTCATTTGAATTGCTTATTTCAGGGTTTCGACTTATATAGGATTCTTTAACAGTCCTTTATTTTAAAATTGTTTGTTTTTTTTAATTTTAAGTTTATTTTATTAACAAATTCATAGAATTAGCGTTACGGGGGTTGTTTATATTTCTTATTTGCATCAACGCTGTAGATTTATCGGCAGTTAGTAAGATAGTCCTCTCTCTTGCATTTCTCGATTACAAATCTTGCCATCATTCACAATTTCCACCGATTGAATTGGAACAATTATCTCCCAATTTACTTACATTTGCTCTATCTCCCTCCTCTAGGACAGTTATCCAGCTCGTGTACGAAATATCCTCATTATTGCAGCACCTTTCTGGTTTCGTCCGCCTTACCACCTCTCCAGACTTTTTGTCAAGGACAAAATTCGAGAACGCGTGAGTTTTTGTTTTTCTGCATGGCAATTTATGCGCTGCTTTTCATTTCTCTCTCTCTACCTCTCTCTCCCTCCCCATACAACAGCTGTGTGCGTGACTTTTGCCCGATGTTGGAAGGAATTAATGGAGCTGGGGTGGGGTGATCACCTCTTACTAGAACCGTAGTAATAGTAGTGATCCGACGGCTACGAAGCCACCCTTATTTATTAACGAAAAGTTTACGAATTCCATTGCAGGTCTTTCCTCTTGGAGTATGTGTGCTCATCTCTTTACTAATCAAATTATCTGTATGAAAATTGGCTGTCAAATGATACTCGTCGGGGTTTTTTTGTTACTGCAGCTACCTTCACGCCTGATGGGTGGTGTCTTCACTTTAAATTGTGATACCCCTTTTCTATTTTGCCGAAGATGAAACCCAAATCAATTTGTGGGGGGGGGGAGTTAAATTTGTATATCAGTGCACTCAGTTTATTTTTATACTTAAGTATACTTCAAAGGAACGTTTGATGACTGCTTAGCTGTTTTATTCTCAAATTGCCTTTTGTTATTATTCAAGAGAGGAATAATAGAGACTGTTTCAAATAGGAAACAATAACGGAGGATAAGTCCCAATATTGTCTATTGAGGGTTTAGAATCATTGTGGAGTACCTAAGTGTGCGAGAGTTCTTTGCGGTTCAATTTCCTGCTTCAAAATGTGGACCCTACTTACCTTTCATAAAATTTTTTTATGGGAGAGGACACATTGACTATTTACGCAATATCTCTAGTATTGAAAGGTGCTTAATCTTTCTCACTGTATCGTTCTCACTTTTTTAGCTAAAACAAGTCATATTTTTTAGACATCACCTCCTTAGATATATATATATATATATATATATATATATATATATATATATATATATTGGTAACCTTAGTAAACGTTATTATATATATTGTTTGTTCATCGAAATAATATCCTCCTGGTTGCCTTTCGTCGCTTTTCGCTCCTCGAAGCAAATTAACTTCGGTTAACTTCCGTTTAGTAGAGGGCTCATGACACCGTGAAGGTATTATGGGAAACTTTGTTTATTTTATTTATTTATTTATTTACTTATATCAAATGGCAGGTATTTTGATGGTTATCTTTAGCCCTTTAGTTGACTTCAGTCTTCGCAGAGGGGGGGGGGTGTAGAGGAGCACCAAAGTGAAAAAGTCGAGAGGGGGAGGTACAGAAGAGTGTTTCAAAAACCAAAGTAGAAAAGGTAGAAAAAAGGTAAGACGAGTTATGGGAAGTGGTGTAATATGACATAATGTCATAGTAGTTAGAAGTGAGAAGTCTTTTTTGCCGTATGAGTATACATTGCCCAGGGTGCACCAGTTTGTTTGCCGTATGAGTATACGTTGCCCAGGGTGCACCACGTGATAGACTTACTTGCCGTATGAGTACACGTTGCCCAGGGTGCACCACGTGGTGCCGTATGAGTATACATTGCCCAGGGTGCACCACGTGGAAGTAAGTCTATCGCACATCCCTTATGGGAAAATAACATCCTATCAGCATTCATCAACCAAAACTAATTATTGCAGTAGGTCATTCACTTTGCCGGTGGATATTGATCTCGTGTTCTCGATCTCTCAACACCACTGTAACCTCTAACCAAGAGGAGTAGCCTCAAGAACCCTCCCTCTGAATTGACTCGAATTCCGCCTTCTGTTTGATCGGCTAGAAGTAATCGGTGTGGTATGCCATTCTACTCAATTTCATTGTGTATCAATGAACATTGGACCCGTAGCCTCTTACTGCGCATCCACGCATGTTAGCCAATACTGGTGTTCAATATTTGGAGGTATTCTTGCTAGTATATAAGGAGAATCTTGTGTTCTGTTTAAATTTTTTAGCTGCTACTGTCAAATCTGCTGTTTACAACCAGTTTCAGGACTTGTTTGCCCTCCAGTTTCGGTGATCTAACATTTAACGCCTCCTTTTTGTGTTTTTTTGCTGAAATGAAATATCTTTCTAGTTTGTGTGGTTATCAGGATAATCCCTCTCAGGCGATAATTTTAGACTGTAGAATCCGGTTCAACTATCAAAATTCGGAGCTTTTAAGGCTGTAGTATTGGAGCATAAAGCTTTGTGCTGCCTTGTGCTAGAACCCTGAGCTTATGGCCATCAACTTTAGCAGAGGTGAATAAATGCTTCTCCAACCATGTAAGGCGCTGAAGTCATTTGAGTCGCTAGAACATGTTTGTCTATTCTCCTAAGCAAAGCCTCTATCATAGAGTGGCGCTTGAAAATTCTTGGTCATCATTACATCAATTGGAGTTTGTGCCTCTAGAATGGTTTAAAACCATTTTGCACCTGAGTAACGGATCTTTAACCGTCACAGTTTGCTGATTAATTGGAATGTTTGAACATCTGGAGGCTCGTGCAGGCGGATCACTTTATTAATCTGCCTCCATTGTGCATTCCTATCAAATGCAAGCACAGAGAAAGTAACAAAAAGTGGAGAGGGGAACAGAAGAATGATTCACAGATGTTAAAGAGACAGACACAAAGGTAGAAAAAAGGTGAGGTGAGTATTGTGAAAGTAGCCGAATATGACATAAAGTGGGGTGATGATAGTTTGAAGTGAGAAGTCAACTGCCAGTTAATAGACTTTGGCAGTTTGAAGTACCAGTCAATAGACTTTTTTCCGCATAAGTATACGTTGCCCAGGGTGCACCACATGGAGGTTGTAAGTACACGTTGCCCAGGGTGCACCACGTGGAGGTAGCCGTATGGGTCTGTTGCCCAAATATGACATACAGTGGGGTCATGGTAGTTTGAAGTCAGAGGTCAACTGCCGGTTTATAGACTTTTTGCCGTGTTAGGGTTAGATCAACTGCCGGTTTATAGACTTTTTTGCCGTATGCGCATACACAATGACATACAGTGGGGTGATGGTAGTTTGAAGTGAGAAGTTGTGACATATAGTGGGGTGAGGGTAGTTTGAAGTCAGAAGTCCACTGCCGGTTTATAGACTTTTTGCCGTATGAGTATACTTTGTAACATACAGTGGGGTCATGGTAGTTTGAAGTCAGAAGTCAAGGCATACAGTGGGGTCATGGTAGTTTGAAGTCAGTGGTCAACTATACAGTGGGGTGATGGTAGTTTGAAGTGAGAAGTCAACTACCAGTCAATAGACTTTTTTCCGCATAAGTATACGTTGCCCAGGGTGCACCACATGGAGGTTGTAAGTACACGTTGCCCAGGGTGCACCACGTGGAGGTATGCCGTTTGAGTATACGTTGCCCATTGGTTTATAGACTTGTTTGCCGTATGAGTATACGTTGCCCGTCAATGGGGTGATGGTAGTTTGAAGTGAGAAGTCAACTGCCACAATGGGGTCATGGTAGTTTGAAGTTAGAAGTCAACTGCCTTTAATAGACTTTTTTGCCGTATGAGTATACGTTGCCCAGCGGTTTATAGACTTTTTGCCGTATGAGGTCTGTTGCCCAAATATGACATACAGTGGGGTCATGGTAGTTTGAAGTCAGAGGTCAACTGCCGGTTTATAGACTTTTTGCCGTGTTAGGGTTAGATCAACTGCCGGTTTATAGACTTTTTTGCCGTATGCGCATACACAATGACATACAGTGGGGTGATGGTAGTTTGAAGTGAGAAGTTGTGACATATAGTGGGGTGAGGGTAGTTTGAAGTCAGAAGTCCACTGCCGGTTTATAGACTTTTTGCCGTATGAGTATACTTTGTAACATACAGTGGGGTCATGGTAGTTTGAAGTCAGAAGTCAAGATGTCAACTGCCGATTAATAGACTTTTTTGCCGTATGAGAAGTGAGAAGTCAACTGCCAGTTAATAGACTTTTTTGTCGTATGAGCACATGTTGCCTAGGGAGCACCACGTAGAGGTTAGTCTATCGCGCACCCCATGCCCACTAATGTTGGTCAATCGGTATGCATTCCCTCATGCAATACATTATATAGGATGTCTTCTCTTTCTATTTGTTGCAAATCCCTTAGCTTGAAGTGATTTTGTTTATCTTTAAAAATTCTCGATCATGATCATATTTGGAGCTAAAATATTAGACATCATTAATGATAATTGGCAAACAGCGCGTGCTCTTCAAATTCCTTTGTCTCTATAAGTGCCCACTAAATTTATCAATTGGCTGAAGACATCGAGCACAATTTGAATTCTTGAGCTATCCTTAAACTTCAATATTCTCTTTGTCCAATTGAAATTCATATGGAAATGGATTTGCTATATGAGAATAATAGTTTTATGCTCACTAAGAGGATTCTGGTCGACCCCTGTCGAAAATGTACCACATGTTAGCAACGGGTTATTTCATCAACATCTTTTTAATTCTACAATCTTATTTACCCTAAACTTAAACAAACATTAGATTACAAAGCCTTACTTATGTTGGCTCATGGTTCAGTAGATTTAAATCATTATTTTATTTTATGAGACATTGCGGTCTAAAGTGAGTTCATTACTTTATCGTCAATGCAATACACTTCCAACAGATCGACTTACCTCCACGTGGTGCACCCTGGGCAATGTAAACTCATATGGCAAAAAGTCTATTACCCGGCAGTTGACTTCTCACTTCAAACTATCATCATCCCACTTTATGTCATATTCGGCTACTTCCACAATACTCACCTCATCTTTTTTCTACCTTTGTGTCTGTCTCTTTAACATCTGTGAATCATTCTTCTGTTCCCTCTCTCGCCCTTTTCCCACTTTGATGTTCCTTCCCCACTGTGAAGCCCAAAATCAACTAAAGGGCTAATGATAACTATCAAAACGCCTGGCATTTGATATAAATAAATATTAAAAAGTGACAATGTCTACCTTAAATCTTGAATTCCTAGCATCTTGTGCTATCGTCGCAGATTTAACACCGATTTTTTCGTCCGTGAATGCACATATGAAATGAAATAGAATGAAAAGATAGTTTAGTGTGTATAAGGTCTCGAATTTCTTACAATTTTACCCTTCTCGTCACTTGATCCTGAATGTATCCAGTTATTGTACTTCTTCTTCATCTAACCTTAGTGAACAAATTGTTTAATTATTTGATTTCAATTTGAGCGCACTTTACGAAAAATGACTAAAAGCTCTCTGCAATTACAAAAGTAAATTGACGTTAATGTTTCAGACTTCTGTAGTTCCAGGTGTCCATCTTTTTCTCAATTTACGCCTTTTGAAATGAAAGGAGGAAAAACATTCCCTTTTTTACTAAAATGGTCCCAAAAAAAATAATTTTCACTCAGCAATGTTCTCGACTAGCCGATCTTAACTTCCAGCATTTCTTGGGGTTGGGGGTTATGAAAAATATTAGAGCTTATTCATAACTCGTGCTCGGGAAAAGCTGTTGAATTTTTGAGCTGTCAAGCGCGCTTTTCTATTTCCTCAGTGTTTTTCCTTTGACGCCTCTTTGCCTAACGCTTGTCTTTTGTGGGAATGTTTGGCATTTTCGTCTGACCAACTATTTGGGCTTGCTGGTCTTTCGTCTATTATAAAGCAGTATCCCCCTAGTTTGGAGAAATTTTTTGACTGCCTCTTGATAATCTTACCTAACGAGCCTTATTGTCAACAATTTTTTGCCATAAACACGCTTTCAAACATTTTAAGCAACGATGTAATTTTACAGATTGTCTGAACTCGCCTTCCCATTAATTCCCTGTTTTCTCGTTATGGGTTGACAGTTGCAAATTACTCCAAACTGTTTATCTTGTAGCTCTTAATTTTATCCCGATTTTGGTTTTTGACTTCAATAAACTAAATCAGAACCATCTAAAGTAGCTCCATTTAAATTTATTACAACCTGAGAGTGTCTTTTTAATGGATGACTTACTAAATCTCGCCTCAAGAGAAATAATTTAGCCCTAATGTAAATGAAGTGCCGAGATCACTTACAAATATCTAACGGATATTCTCCTCGACTTTCTAGATATTTGCCATCGAACGTCGCCAATTGATCAATTTCCTGCCAATAGCAAGCATCCCTCAAGGTCTTGGGGGCACTCTCTCCCATCGCCATATTGATTGGCTGCGCACCTGTTTCGATCGATTGGGCTCCTCAGTATTGAGCAATGGCAAAGAAGAGGATTACTTTAATCCAATGAAAGTCCTCCCACCCAGTTTTATGCTCAGTCGTCGATTGTCTTTCACACAACCCCATCATCAGTTTACACTGGATCGATATGATATCCAGAGGAACCAGGTTCATCATTTCCCACATCAACGAGTAGTTGCCCATGGAATGAATGGAAATCGAACTATCTCGACTAATTCAGTGAGAAAAGGTATGGCAATCAATCATGGTTCTAAATCCCGAAGGGTTCAAGATTAACTAACAGCTGCAATTGGGAAATGTCTCTTTTGCAACCAAGTGTGACTTTGTATCTAAGCGCAATTGAACATTGAAAGGGGAAGGAAAAGTGCTCTACTCAATCTGAATTCTGGGTAGAGGGCTATAGATGTGTAGTCCTTTTAGTTAATATGTTGAATTCTGTCGCAATCTTTGTTTTTACGTTATTCAATGGAATGTTTAAGCTGGTAATTTGGTGATATTCTGTGTCTAGGCTGGTCGAATTGAGGCTTTTTGCGATTAACAGACCGATATTCCATCCTGAAGGCAGATGAATACAAATTCACGTTATAACGAAACTTTCTTACAGTTCACTTCAAGCTATGTGCAAAAGGGAAAGTTGATCGTTATTTCGTTTATTACAATAACGAAACAATTGAGATTTTTTAATAATTGCCTATAAGTATATTCTCACCGTGATATGGTGTCGATTATGTCTTTCATAGCAAGAAAATTTGCATCGATGACTTGGTTATCAATCTCCGTGCTTTCAAATTAGCTTTCAAGAATTTACTTCTCGTATGGATATCAAGCCCAATCTGGCTTATGCACACAAACATTTATTTATTAGAAAAAAATGGTGATCACTGTGCGCAGACTGTATTTCTCAGTCACTTGAGGTATAAGATTATTTTCCCCTTACTTAGATACAACCGCCTGGACATACAATCGACTCCTACGACCAGGAGCTCCCAAAAACCATTTGAATAGTATCTCTCTTTCTGACGACGAAGACAACAGTCACAATTCTCTTAAGCACTCCATCACATCCTCCCTTATAGTTACCAATAATAATAATAATAATAAGCTCAACAGCAACGGTTCCTCTAAGGAAGTCGTTGCACCACCTTCTACAGCCACTTCTCTCACCTCCCCCACCCGCATCTCTGTGGATCAATTCCTCTCCGAATTTCCGCGCAAATTTCCCTCCACATTTGAGCGAGAATTCGAGGTGTCTATCAGACCTATTGGGAGTAATTGCCCCACTTCTGCTGTGAATGGAAACTCTGCCATGACATCTACAACTCGATTCTCAGATCGGGCTAATTATGCGAAAAATCGATATGTTGATGTGCCTTGCTTGGACCACTCGGCGGTCATTCTACCCGGGGATGGATACATCCATGCTAATTACGTGGATGGATATCTCAAGAGAAAGGCATACATTCTTACTCAGGGTAAGTTACGTTGGGAGTTACACGTGGGCTATGAGAATTCCAAATTATTTTCTCCTCTCAGATCCGCTAACTCTTTGGACTGTCGATGCTGCAACCGTCTTCCAATTTATTGTGTGCAATTGTAGCCATTCCCTAGTCCTATCTTCAATGGGGAAACCTCATATTTGTTGGAATTGCCGGTGGGCAGTTGGCTAATATAGTCAAGGCTACCACCACTGTCCACTGAAGCTACAGTTGCCCAGACCCGGGTCAGGAGTATTGTAGCTCAGCAACATTTATCTTTTATTATAAGACTGCTTAGGAGTTTATTATGCAGCTGTTATTTATTGACATGATTAATCATTTAACTCCCTTAGTACTGTTAGGCCCTCTTTTAAAATAATCTCCATTGATACTAGACTCATAACAGAAGGCGCTACTGCCGTTTGAAACATGTTCAATAGGTGTCTATAGCCTTCGCCTGATACCCTACCAAAACTCATCACGTCGGCGACATCAGTCTGCTGCTGTGAGACACGCATGAGTGCGGTTGGATGGATTTTTCAAAAAATGCTTGGGGCATTAAAGGGCTAACTAACGGACATCAATCATTAAGCTACATAATCGATGACAATTGAGCAATTTAAAATCATAGCCGAGAATACCGTTCGCGAAATCTTGTGAAATCTCCTCGGGTCGTTGAAAATATTCGCTTCCCTTTTCAACTGCAAACTTTATTGCTGGTACGACTGTTTAGTCGATAAAAATTCCTCATTCGCTACCGACCCATATGAATGTAACTATATCTTTAGAGTCGAGCGACGTTTCGTTTTGCCGCTTTTAAATGTGTTCTGGCTAAGGATCTTCTTGTCAGCATTGACCTAGGTTGTAACAGAGAAGAGATCACGCGTGTCTAGATTAGTCTCCTTTCAGAATCGTATTTGTTCTATTTGGCTCCCTATTGAATTTGTCAGAGGGAGAGAGAGAGTAAATGCGATTTATCTCCACTGAAGCAGTCGACATACGTAGTCTTCAAGCTAAATTTGTTTGAAATTTAATATGCAGAAAACGGTGCTCGAGCCCACAATTTTTTCCAAACATTTATTTATTTATTTCAAATGGCAGGCGTTTTGATAGTTATCATTAGCCCTGTAGTTGACTTCAGGCTTCACAGAGAGGGGAAGGAACATCAAAGTTAAAAAAAAGCCGAGAGGGCGATGGGGGGGGGAACAGAAGAATGTTTCAAAGATGTAAAAGAGACAGACAGACACAAAGGCAGAGAAAAGGTAAGATGAGTACTGCGGAAGGGGTCGAATATGACATACAGTGGGGTGATGATAGTTTGAAGTGAGAAGTCAATGGCCGGTTAACAGACTATTTTTTTGCCGTATGAGTATACGTTGCCCAGGGTGCACCAC